AGAGCGAGGGGCGGGGGCCGGGCGGGCGCGCGCGCGCGAACGGGAGGGCGCGCGCTGCCCGGGAAAGGAGTCAGGCCACCTGGGCCACTCTGTTAAAGGGGCAGTGCGCTCAGACAGTAGGGCCACGGGGCCCGGACCTGGGGACTGAGCTGCGGGCACGGACACCGAAGGGCGAGCCAGACAGCGGAACGTGGAACAGTCAGCGTGCCGGAAGAGCCAGGAAAAGGGGACGAACCCCGGAGGGGACTTAGTCTGGACGCGCGCACGTCGCCGCCGTCAGAAGCCTGCTTCGGGGGCGGGGCTTCCATCGGGACACGACCCCCCAGGAGGCGTTCCTCACAGGCCCCGCCCCTCGGGCGAGCGTCCGGCCTGCAGCTCTGGCGCGCCGGCGCGGGTCACCCCGAGCTACACCTTCTTGCCGGCGAGGTTCCTGAATTGGCCGCGCAGTAGCCTCAGGTGATGGGGCCGAACGCGGCGGCGCCGGAGCACCACTCGGACACCCAACTAGCCCTCAAGTTCGGCTTCGCGACCACCACCTCCGATCCACACAGCCCCCTCAGGCTTGGGTGTCACCCGAGGCCGCAGCTGCCTTAGGCCCAGAGACCTGCACACCCTGCCCAACCCAGGACCGCTACTGCACCGCCTGGGGCACTCCCCAGACCTCGTTACAGCCCCTCTCCGGCCTGCCTATCCTCAGACTTTGGCTAGAAGGCCCCAATCCACCTGCCAAGGGCCCTGTAGGCCTCAGGCTCAAGTCACAGCCGCAGACCTGGGCCTTCCCTCCGGACGAGGCTATGCCACCAGGAAGCTCTTGAGCCAGGGTTTGCCCCCTTCGGGTGACCATGCAACCTCTTCCGTGTGGGTTGCTGCCAAGGCCTTGGCTATCCCTAGGTCAAGGCTATCCCTGTTGATCCTACCAGACTGCTTTAGACCCATCCTGCCTCCTAGGCCCAGTGTGCCCACTTAGGCCCATCTATCTGAGGGCTGCATGCCCCTCAGCTCCAAATTGCTCCTGAGTTCTGCTGAACCTGTTCTACTTCAACATATCCGGTTTAGACCTCTACCCTTCCAGCCCAACTCAATCCCCATCTGCCATCTTAAGAAACACCTCCCCTCCCCCCTCTAGCCTCAGCCTTTACCTAGTTACCTTTGGTTTTGTTTGTGACAGGGTCTCTCTTTGTAGCCCAGGCTGGCCTCAAGCTCTCAATCTTCAGTCATTTCCTGAATGCTGGGATTCCAGGATTGCAAAATTATGCCCAGTTTACCTTTGATACTTTTTCTCTTTTAACTAACACTTAGCTTTTTCTGTTCTTTGTGCAGGCCTGCAGGCACTCTTAACTGGAATTTTATTGCTTATGGTTCCCAGAGCCATGTGTATGCAGGCAAGCTGCTGTACTACTGAGCTACATCTCTAGTCTGTACTTAGGTTTTTGTTTTAGACAAGGTCTTGCTATTGTAACCCAAGCTGGACTCACACTTAGGATCCTCCTGCATGAACCTCCTGAGTCCTTGGGATTAGAAGCCTGTGCCACACACCTGGATTTTATCTAATATTGTTTTATTTATTGAAATTTATTTTCTAGTAATTTTTTTTTTTTTTTTTTTTAATCTATTTTTTTTTCTGGCCAGGTAAGGTTGCACATACCTTTAATCTTAGCACTCCGGAGGCAGAAGTAGGAGGATCTCTCTGAGGTCAAGGCCAGCCTGGTCTACATAGTGAGTTCTAGGCCAGCTGGGGCTATAGGGAGACCCTGTCTCAAAAAGACCAAAAAAAAAAAAAATCTTTTTAGGATTCTTTAACATTTTAAAAATTTTTATTTTGTGTATGTGTGTGTGTGTATGTGTGGAGGTCAAAGGGCACCATGAGTTGATACTCTCCACTGTGGGTTCCAGGTATAGAGCTCAGACAGGTTTGGGTGGCAAGTACTGTCACCCATTAAATCATCTCCCTGGCCTGTATCTAGTGTTCTTTTGTTGTTGTTTTGTTTTTCAAAATAGGGTCTATTTAGCCCTGGCTTGCCTGAAACTTCAGCTCTGTGTAGACCATGCTGTTCTGGAACTCAGAGATCTGCCTACCTCTGCCTCCCCAGTGCTGGGATTAAAGGTGTGTGCCACCACTCCCAGCTTGTCTCTAGTATTCTTAACCAGTTTCCTACCTGCTTCAACTAGCTCTGAAGTCATCTTTGTTCCTAATACTGTTCTGTGCAACTTTTTTTGTTTTAAGCCAAGTTGGAGTTTACTAAGAAAAAGTTCCAACATAGGCATTAATGGAAAAAGAGAAGTGGCAGGAGAGGTGAGTCAGTGGTTGGTTAAGAACACTTATTGCTGGGCATGGTGGTGCATGCCTTTAATCCCAGCACTCGGGAGGCAGAGGCAGGCAGAGTTCTGTGAGTTCAAGGCCAGCCTGGTCTACATAGTGAGTTCCAGGACAGCTGGGGCTACAAGGAGACCCTGTCTCAAAAAGACAAAACCAAAAAAACAAAAAAAAAACACTTGCTGATCTGGTAGAGGACCCAGGTTCAGTTCCCAGAATCCACATGGTGGCTCACAACCACTTAAAACTCCAGTTCCAGGCAATCTGACATCCTCTTCTGACCGCCACAGACTTCTGCACACAGTTGGTGCACATAAACTCATGCATGTTCACCACCTACACATAATAAATAAATAACTCATTTAAAGAGATAGAGAACAGTTTAGGAGGGGGATACTATGCACCCAAACATGGGTACAGGCTTCTCAAGAGAGTTGCTCTGCAACTGACTTCTCTGTTCACTTTACCTGCAGGCATTCTTAGTCACCCCTACTTTGCTGTCATTCTGTCAACAGTCTCACTAACCATTCATACCAAGCTTATTTACCAGCCCTCAGTTCTTCTCTTCTCTGTCCCCATGCACCAGTTCTATTCCAACTATTGCCCAACTGCCTCTGCCTCATCCAATCTCCACCTGTCGTGTGTTCTGTTTCATCATTCCAAGTCAAGTCACTTAACTGGAATCTGTACATGTCATTTACTCTACTTTTAGCTTCTGAAAATTGATTTTCTCCTTTACGTTTTATTTATTTTTAATTTAATTCATTTATTTATTGTTTTATGTGTATGCATGTATTGCCTGCAAGTAGGTAAATGCACCCATGTTGTGCAATGCCCGCAGAGGACAAAAGAGGCTGTCAGATCCCCTGGGACTGGAGTTAGGGACAGTTGTTAGCTGCCATGTGGGTGCTGGGATTCGAACCCGGGTCTTCTGTGAGAACAACCACTGTTCCTAACCGCTGAGCCATCTCTCCAGCCCCCTCCTTTACCTGTTATATCATCCACCTGTGCTGTGCTTATTGTCTTCAACTTTATGTTAATAGTGCAGCATTATTCACTCTTACTGTCGCTAAGCTCTCTTTTTCAGGATGTGCAGTCTCTTTCCAATCTCTAGATCTGCTGTGGTTTCATTACTACATTACATGAGTGAATGATTCATTATCCATTATCCTCCCAGCACCAAGGAGATTCCATCCAGCTACTCAGCCAAGTCCAGTCATGCAGGTACAGGAGGATGGAGACAACTTCCTCCCTTTTGCCAAGTGAGTCCTCCCTACTAGGTGGGAAGGATAGGGATGGGATGGAGGGAAGATTGCATGCCTGGATTCTTCTCTGTAAGGATTAAGAAAGAACAGAAATCTCAGTGCCTAGGATTGGGATTGATGATTCATTAATTTATCCAACAAAAAAAATTTTTTTGAGAGGGGCTCACTACATAGCCCTGACTGTCCTGGAACTTGCTATATAGACCAGGATGGCCTCAAACTCACAGAGATCTGCCTGCCTCTGCCTCCAGAGTGCTGGGATTAAAAACATGGGCCACTATGCCTGGCCAACAAAATAATAATAATAATAATAATAATAATAATAATAACAATAACAATAATAATTTAAATCGCCCACAGAGTCCAGAAGAGGATGTAGGATCCCCTAGATCCTACGGGGAATTGTGAACTGCCTGATTAGGTGTTAGGAACTGAACTCAAGTCCTCTATGAGAACAATACATAATCTTAATCATTACACCATCTCTCTAGGCCCAACAAATAGTTTTTGAACACCAATATTCTAAGCATTATATTAAGTAGTGAATATTCAACAACTAATAAGAAAGGGGTCCTGCTCTCATAGAGCTAGTGATAGAACAGATATACACAAATGAGTAATCAGGCTGGACGTGGTGCCACATGCCTTTAATCCCAGCACTCTGGAAGAGGCAGGTGGATCTCTATGAGTTCAAGGCCAGCCTTGTCTACATAGTGAGTTCCAGGACAGCTGGGGCTACAGGGAGACGCTGTCCCCAAAAGACCAAAATAAATAAATAAATAATCATTTCAGCTAATTCTTGGGAGATACATGGTTATTGTCATTGTAGCAAACTATTGTGTAGAAGTGAATTTGAAATGAGATCTGGAAAATGAGAGGTTGCTAGTCTAGAAAAGAGTGGGAATGGTGAGGGCAAGAAGGAAACAAACTTATATGTTCTAGGAACAGGAATCAGGCCAGTGTAACTGAAACTTGGTGACTGAGGAAAAAATAAAAAATAAAGTCAGAGAGTTAAGTGGAAGCCAGATCATAGGAAACCTTATAGACCATGCATAAAATTTTGGATTTTTATTGTAAAAACTGGAAATCAGTTGAAAGTGGTTTTCTTTGTTGTATTTTTACCTTTTTTGAGACAGGGTCTCCAAGTAGCCCCAGCTTGCATGGAACATGCTATGTAGATCAGGTTAGGCTCCATCTTACAGAGATCTGCCAAGGTGTGTGTTACCATGCCCTGGCCAGTAGAAAGTTTTAAGGAAGGAAGTGAGATAAGCACATTTTTTCCCCTTAGCCTTTTTTATTATAGAAAATTTCAAATAAATATAATAGAGGCTGAGTGTGGTGGCACACCACTTTAATCCCAGCACTCAGGAGGCAGAGGCAGATGGATCTCTGTGAGTACAAGGCCAGCCTGGTTTACATAGTGAGTTCCAGGCCAGCTGGGGCTATAGGAAGACCCTTTCTCAAAAAGTTCAAAATAAGCCGGGCATGGTGGCGCATGCCTTTAATCCAAGCACTCGGGAGGCAGAGACAGGCGGATCTCTGTGAGTTCAAGGCCATCCTGGTCTACATAGTTTCAGGACAGCTGGGGCTACAGAGAGACCCTGCCTCAAAAAGACCAAAAAAAAAAGATCAAAATAAATAAATAAATATAGTAGAGAAAATAGTATTATGAACTGATGTACCCTTTCCGTCAGATTCAATAAATTTCATTATATGGATAATCTTTTCTCCCATCCATCTCTACTTCCCAATTTTTAAAAAATATTTTATTTATTATTTTTATTTTATGTGTATGCATGTATTGCCTGCATGTAGGTAAGTGCACCCGTGTCGTGCAATGCCAGTGGAGGACAGAAGAGACTGTCAGATCCCCTGGAACTGGAGTTACGGACTGTTGTTAGCTGCCATGTGGGTGCTGGGATTCGACCCCAGGTCTTCTGCAAGAACAATCAGTGTTCTTAAGCTCTGAGCCATCTCTCCAGCCCCATTGTTTGTTTGATTTTCTGAGACAGGGCTAGCCTCACACTCACTATGTAGCCAAGGATAACTTTGAACTCCAATCCTCCTGTCTCCATCTCCCAAGTGCTGAGACTACAAGCATGTACCACAATGTCCAGTGTCCCCAATCATTTTGAAATATACCTCAAACCTTAATATCATTTCATATGCCATTCTATTTTGCCTTTTCAAAATACTTTATTTTTTTGGTCTTTTTGAAGCAGGGTCTCCCTGTAGCCCCAGCTGTCCTGGAACTCACTATGTAGACCAGGCTGGCCTTGAACTCACAGAGATCCGCCTGCCTCTGCCTCCCAAGTGCTGGGACTACAGGTGTGCACCACCACACCTGGCTTTATTTTTTTTTAATTTTATGTGTATGTGTGTATTGGCTGCATGTAGTTAAGTGCATCCATGTCGTACAGTGCCCTCACAGGTCAGAAGAGGCTATTGGATCCCCTGGGACTGGAGTTACAGATAGTTGTTAGCTACCATGTGGGTGCTGGGATTCAAACCCAGATCTTCTGCAAGAACAACCGGTGTTCTTAACCACTGAGCCATCTCTCCAGCCCCGATTTTATTTTTAATCATGTATATATGTGTGTGTGTGCCTGTGTGTGGGTTTGTGCACATCAGTGCAGTGCCTGCAAAGGCCAGAAGAGGGTGTTGTGTCTCTTAGAGCTGGAGTTACAAGTGGTTGTGAGCTACCTCATGTGGCTGCTGGAAACCAAACTCTGGTTCCGCGCAGGAGCAGATGTGCTCTTAACCGCTGAGCCAATATGATACCATTTTAAAAGATTGCTCTTTCAGGGCATGAGGATGCATGTTTTTAATCTCAACACTCAGAAGACAGAAGCAGAGGTAGAGGCAGGTAGGTCTCTGTGAGTTTGAGGCCAGCCAGGTTTATATACATATCAAGTTCCAGGTCAGCCAGGGTCATATAATCAGACCCTGTCTCAAAAAAAGAAAAAATTACATTCACTACTCTGTGCTGAAGCATCTAGGGAAGGGGAATAAGAATAAAAGCAGGGAGCTGGGCATGGTGGCTCATGCCTTTAATTCCACTACTCAGGAGGCAAAGACAGGTGGATCTCTATGAGTTCAAGGCTAGCCTAGTCTACATAGCAAGTTCCATGGTAGCCAGTGCTACATGGTGAGACCATGTCTTCAAAAAAGGAGGGAGGGAGGGAGGGAGGGAAAGAATAAAAGCAGGAAGAAGAGGAGGAGACCAGGAGACCATTAGTCCAGGAAAGAGAAGATGATACATAATCTGGAATGTGGTGATGAAAATGGAGAGCAGTGGTCCAATTTGGATATTTTTCAGATGAACTCACAGGATTTGGTAGTGCATTAGATATGGGAAATGAGGGGAAATGAGGCATACCAGGGGTTTGTCTATAGCAACTGGGCATATGAGGTAGACTTCATTAAGATAAGAAGATCAAGGAGATGTTGAATGGAGCCCAAGAAGGATCCAGGGCTGGAAATGCAGTTTTTGGAGTAATAGCACACTGGAGGTATTGAAAGTCATGAAACTGAATGATACCCACCTAAAGACAGAGGTAGAGAAGGAAAAGGACCCCTGATACTTCACTTCTTCAGGATAAGGAGTTTGGGCTGGGCATGGTAGCACATGTCTTTAATTTCAATACTCAGGATGCAGAGGCAGGTAGATCTCTTAGAGTTCAAGTCCAGCCTGGTCTATGTAGTGAGTACCAGGCCAGCCAGAGCTACATAGACAGACATTGTCTCAAAAGGAGGGAGGGAGGGAGGAAGGAAGGAAGGAAGGAAGGAAGGAAGGAAGGAAGGAAGGAAGGAAAAAAGGGAAGGGAGGGAGACCAGGAGGTTAGGCATCATTCAGTCTGGGGGTGTTGGAAGTAGTTAGCACTGTTCTCAAGCAGCTCTGTATACCCCTCCTACTTATAAGGGTAATCCTTCTGAGATACATAAAACAAAGTAGGGGTAAACATAGCTTCTCTTCTGGATCCCTTGCATTGACTTAAGGGAATCTTGTCCATCAAATCACGTGAATAAGCTAGGCCTTCCTCTTTAGTAACTCTGCTTGCTAAATATTATGTTCTTTGGTTATACAGTATAGAAGCTGAGATTCAGTGAGATCTGAGGATCCAATCATAGTCCTTATCAACTCTCACCACAGATCCAGTCTCTACTCAAGTCAGAGATAATCATCTCTTCTAAAATGGACAGAGGACTGAGGATGTAGCTTAGTTGGATGTAGCTTAGATGGTACAGGATTTGCTTAGCATTTAGGAAGCTCTGGGTTCTCCACCACTACATAAAAACCTGAGTGCTGTAATCTCAGCACTCAGGTGATGGAGGCAGGAGGATCAGAAGTTCAAGGTCTGAGGTCAGCCCAGGAAACGCTGTCTTAAACACCGAAACAAATGTGGATAGAAAAGGCATGGCCTGAAAGAATGTGTACAGCTATATGGTCCCATGGAAAGAACAACCCCTGAATCTAGTCAGTGAGTAGATGCTGTAGGGGAAGATCCAGTCACACACCTATTTGTCCTCACTTCAGGTGTTCCAGAGTGGTCAGCCGTTCTTCACTCTGCAGCCTGTCTTCCCAGAGCCACAGACAAAAGCCTCTGCCTTATGGAGATGTCTTCTGGGAGAATCTTAGCCAGAGGTCTAGGTGAGTAGAATACACTAGTGATGGGAAGATGAAGCTATACTGTTTAAGTACCATATATCCTTACAGCAATAAGCCCTAGTCTGGAGGTCATTTTCTACTGGCTGATGGACATTGCAGCTCCAACGGGTGGATGGGAGTGTTTGTCAAAGAAACAATATTTATTAGGGTGTCCCTTTTGACTCCAGCTTCCATTTTTCTTTTCAGCCCCAACTGGATAGAAGAACAATACATTCTACCAACAGTGGTATGTCTAAGCCTGCCCCTCAATCTTATCTGTTAAAATTGTACCCACTGCTGCTCTCCTGTCCATAGCTGTCCTTATTACCTTTTCCTCTGGAATTTCTAGTACACTGACCAGTCCCTCTTTTTATTGTAAATCAAGCATCATGTTTTCCAGATCATACCTGGGCTTCCCAAAGCCCCCTGACTCTCTAGCTCAGTCCTAGCTCCCCTGAAACTAAGAGTTATCTATCCACTTAGCAGCTTTTCCTTGTTCTCTGGCACAGAGGGCCCCTGGTTGCTCGCAGCCTGGCTTGCACCCTCTTGAAGGGCTCCCACCCCCTGAGAAGCTTTGGAGAAGAAAGAAAAGGAATCTGCATTTGGAGAGAATGCAGCAGGGACATGGGAGCATCCCAGCCCGAGTTAGGGCTGTTACATATCACCTGGAAGACCTGAGAAGGCGCCAGAGAGCCATCAATGAGTAAGGAGGCATGGTATCTGGCCCCTGGGAGCCAAGCAGGGTTTGGGGGCAGGATAGTTTGAACAAAGAAAAGGTGAGAGCTTTGAGAAAATTGATTGGTACAAAGGAACCATGGGTATGGTGTGACTTAAATGTAATTTCTTTTTTCTAGATGTATTTATTTTTGTGTATTGCATGTTTGCCTACATGTTGTATGTGCATCACATGTGCCTGGTACTTGCAGAGACCCGAGGCAGCATTGGATTCCCTGGAGCTGGAGTTACAGGAGGTTGAGCTGCCATGTGGATGCTGGGAACTAAACCTGGGTCCTCTGCAAGATCAGCAGTTGCTCTTAACCACTGAGCCACCTCTCCACCCCCATAATTTCTTTAAAAAATATTTTTCTTACATTTATTTATTTGTGTGCATGTGCACATGTGCCATAGTTGCATGTGGAAATCAAAGGATACTTTGCAGTATTGATTCTCTGCTTCTACCATGTAGGTCCTGACAGAAGAGCATCAGGCTTAGTGGCAAACACCTTTATCTGCTGAGTCATTTTGCTGGCCCTCAAACATGATTTCTATAATATGGAAAGAAGGAAAGAACTGCGAGGTGGTGGATAAGTCACATAAGCTGGAAGAAATGGAAAACAGATGATGAGAATAAGAAGGAACATCACCGGAGGCTGGAGAGCTGGCTCAATGGTTAAGAGCACTGGCTGCTCTTGCAGAGGACCTAGCACCCACAGGGCAGCAAACAATTGTCCCTAATTCCAGCTCCAGGAAATCTAATGACCTTTTTTGGCCTCTGTGGGCATTGCATGCACAGGTGTATTTACATACATGTAGGCAAACATTCATACACATAAAATAAAAAGAAATACATCTAAAAAAATAAAAATAAACATTTTTTAAAAAGAAAGAACATTGTGGGCTGGAATGATGGCTCAAGCAGTTAAGGGCACTGATTACTCTTGCAAAGAACCTGGGTTCAATTCCTAGCACCCATATGGTGGCTAACAATATCCATAACTTCTGTTCCAGGGAATTTTGACACCCTCTTCTGACCTCCATGGGCATGACAAGACACTGCAGGCAATACACTCACACACGTAAAAATAAAAACAATAAAAAAAATTTTAAAGAACATCATTGAACTAGGGGGAATTAGGGGTTATCTTTGGTTCCCTGGACTGAAAATTCTTAACTGTGGGGAGCAGAAAATTGGTCGGTGAGTTGAAGGTCAAATGGTAACATCACTGATTCTCAGTAAGAAGTACTTGGGTGGTGGTGCTGGAGGGATGGCTCAGTGGTTGAGGGCACTGGCTACTCTTCCAGAGGACCAGAGTTCAGTTCCCAGCACCTACATGGTGGCTGATAGCCAACTGTAACTCCAGTTCCAAGGGATCCCATGCCCTATTCTGGGCTCCTCAGGCATTATACACACAGGTGCACTTACATACACATAGGCAAAACAGTCATACACATAAAATCTTTAAAAAAATTTTTTTTTTATTTTTATGTGTATGAGTGTATTGCCTGCCTGTATGTGAGTGCACCCGTGTCACGCAATGCTGTGGAGGTCAGAAGAGGGCTTCAGATTCCCCTGGACCTGGAATTAAGGACGAGTTGTAGCCGTCATGTGGGTACTGGTAATCAAACCCGGGTCCTCTGCAAGAGCAGTCAGTGCTCTTAACCGCTGAGCTATCTCTCCAGCCCCATAAAATAAAACTCTTTAAAAAACAAAAAAGAGCCAGTGCTGTGGCACATGCCTTCAATCCCAGCACTTGGGAGGCAGAGGTAGGCAGATCTCTGTGAGTTCAAGGCTATCCTGGTCTCCATAGTGAAACCAGGACAGCTGGGACTACAGGATGACCCTGCCTCAAAGAGACTAAAAGAAAAAAAAAAAAATGTACTTGAGAAGGGTGAAGAATGGAGAGACAGGAAGCCTGGCTTCCAGGCATCTCTCTTAAGCCTAACATCTCCACAGACTGAAGAAGGCTCAGTGGGTTAGCTATGAGGCTGCATCTGAACTCCAAGTGCTTGAAGAGGAAGGCTGTGGATCCCCACCCCCCAGTACTACTGAATATCCCATCCTGGAAGAGGAAAGGAAAACCTATCAACAGGAAAACATCCATTTTGTTACCCCTGGGGCTCAGGTATGTATGGCTGGAGAGGAACTTGGTAGGGTGTTGGAAGTTTTCAATCTATGGTCTTGCATGGGGAGAGAGCAGATTCCAAAAGCCAAGTTGGACAGCTCAATTTAAGAACAAAAATAAAGCTGGGTGTGGCTCTCATGTCTTTAATCCTAGCACCTGGGAGGGAGAGGCAGGCAGATCTCTGTGAGTTCAAGGACCAGCTTGGTCTACATAGCGAGTTCCAGGCCAGCTGGGGCTACAGGGAGACCCTGTCTCAAAAAGACAAAAAAAGAACAAAAATAAAATAGTTAAGAACCGGAACTTGAGGGTGCCTAGGCTTGACAGTTAAGAAACATGGAGAGAGAACTGTTTTGCCGTACCCCTCCCCCATTTCTCTTGTCTACAGTTGCTTTGGTTTCCCTGGAGTCCCTTAGGCCAGGAAGGGGCCTATGCCTCCGGGCGGCTGAGCTCCTCAGCGCACAGCACTTTTACAGCCAGAAGGAACCCCATTTACAATCCCACGGGTGATGGAGTCTGAGCTGTAGTGGGAAATTCATGCCCAAGAGGCCCAAGTCCAGTTCCATCAGGAGACTCGCACCATTGCTGGAATCTAGGCGTTTGTTTTCCATTCATCCCACACCTTAGGAAGTCACAGCACCTTTGAGTTCCCATCCAACTGTACCCTCAAGAACTCCCCAAGCCGGGTTTTCCCCTAGGCCACAACCTGGCCCTGTGTTCTCCCCGTTCTGTTATTAAAGAGCAAGCAAGGACTTTCTTCCGTGCGAGGCGGTGATGAAGGGGCAAACGGGGAAGGAGGGCTCTTTTGACCCAAGAAGGCCTTCAAGAGCCAGTTGCAATGAAGTCGGGCTAGGTCCCTAAATTTAATGAGTCTCCCCTGAGGCCAGAAGAGTTGTGCCGTGATCCAGCATCCTCCTCTGGGTCCTAGGGCTCCGGCCCTGGACCTCCGCCCACGCCCCGTCCTTGGGCACGCAGAGTCGGACCGATCTTCCGCCTCCGGACCCGGGTCCCTCAGCGCTACCGCCCTTTAGAGCCTTCCCAGCAGTGTGTCTTCTGGCCTGGCCCACGGTCTAGGAAGAGAGCCCTACCACCCAGCGCTCCGCCCAGAACCCTGTGGGCGCTGACCCCAGGTTCCCTCCTCGACCCAGTCCCCTTAATTGGAAGGCCCCGCCCCGTGCGCAGTGACGTCGACGCCGCTGTCAGCCGGCGCTGGGGGGGGGGGTCGGTGTGGGGTAGGATGGCCGCTGCCGCCGTCACGCGCGGGACCCCGGGAGGTAAGACCCAGGGCCTCTGTCGGCCTCTCCGCCCCCGCGCCAGGGGGCGCAGCTCCACGCGGTCCGGGTGTGCAGCGCCGTGCGGGGGACCACCGTCCCTCCTCCCGGCTCGCCCCCATTTCTCCGCTTCCGTCCTCCTCCCCCGCGCCAGGGGGCGCCGCTAGCCTCCCGGCCCCAACCCGGACCTGCGCGTACCGGGGACTGGCCCCCAGACCCGGTGCCCGGCTTCCGCACTGTCCCTTGCCCGCCAGGTGCTCACGAACTCTGATCAGCTGCTTCTCCAGAACATCCCGATTTGCGGTCGGGACCCTCCCACCTCGGAGGTTCTCCCGAGACCCCTGTCCCTAAGAGGGGGCTGTCCCCCAGCCTCCTGAGCGGCAGGCGTGTCGGTCCTGAGCTATCGCCGGGCTTATAGCCCGGGTCCTGCTCCTGCTCCTGCTCCGCACCCTGGCAAACTGCCTAGCCCGGACTGCGCACCTGCGCCTTGGGGTAGAATCCTTACCCCAACCCCAGCTTCACTGCACATAGCCGATCCTGAATGGGCCACCACCCCCTCTCCATCCCTGGACACTTGGCGAAGCCCAGGCAGAGAGCTGCCTCCAGCACCCATCTGTTCCCCTGGAGGGAGGAGGCTCAAGCTGGAGCCACAGCAGTAGATGGGTTATGGTAGGCCCAAGGCCAGGTGAGGCAGGGGATTTTGGGGATAGGGGTATTGGGAGTGAAGAGGGCTCTTAGGCTCAAATGGGGCGGGAGGGTTGTCCCTGGGGTGGGAAGCTGGGTCCTGCGTGTATCCCATATTCTATCAGGCCCTGACCAACCTGAAGGAGGGAGAGTAGGTGAGGTCAGTTATCAGCTCTGCCCTTCCCCTTGAAAAAACTCAAATAGAAAAAGAACTCAGGGTGTGTCTTCTAAGGCCCCGCTCTTTACCAGACTTAGATCTGCTCTCCTCCAGCATCCAGTTTCTCTTGCCAGACCATCCTCCGAGGACCAGGAGTCCCAGTCCCCACGACCTGACCCACCCTTAGCCCTAGCCTGGCTCTGCCTTCCCAGACATACCCGGAGTTCTTTCTCTATTTGATTTTTCCGAGGGGAAGGGCAGATCTGATAACTGACTTCACCTGCTCTTTCCTTCATGTTGGTCAGGACTTGATAGAATCTGGGTTAGACAAACCCAGCTCAGTACCCTCGGGAAAGCCCCAGTCCCGTCAGCTTTCTCCCCTCCCCCACTCACCCTGTTTCTTCCTTATCACTCTGTTCTGTCTTGTCTCCTCACTTATGTTGGTTCCTGGCACCGTGTCTGGGTTCTCCTTCACCTCTATCTACTGTCATATTCCAGTCCAACCTCTTCCTCATCTTTCTTAGATATCAGGATCCAGTTCTATACACCCCTCCCCCAGGTCAAGCTTCTCATCCGTATTAATGTGGGGGCTTCATGACCTTGTTCTCTCCTTTCCCAGCACAGACTCCCCCTCCCCCCGGCCCCTCAGGCCTGGGGTGACCTTGCCCCCTGGAGCCTGCACCATGAATACCAAGGACACAACTGAGGTTGCTGGTGAGTTCACAAACCAGGTTCCCAGTTTGGGCACAGCCTTCTGTTCTCCTGGCTGCCAGGTGGCCCTCAGAGTCTTGGATTCCTTCCTCTCTTGTTTGATTTGGTCCTTTTCCTCTCGGTTGCCTCTAACCTAAGACCTTCCTTCTGGTTCCCTGCAGAGAACAGCCACCACCTGAAGATCTTCCTCCCCAAGAAGCTGCTGGAGTGTCTTCCTCGCTGCCCACTGCTGCCTCCAGAGCGGCTCCGGTGGAATACAAATGAGGTTTTCTAGGGAGCATGGGGGAGTTAGGGCCCAGCAAGACCTAGTGGACTAGAGGAGAGTGAGTGGGACCTTTCTGTGGACACAGTGCAGAGCACCATTCTAGGCTTTGAGGGGATCATAGGAGAGTTGCAAAGACCTGGATCTTGTAGGAGCCCACTTCTCTTTAGTACAATCCACCCATGTCAAAACAGCAGCCTAGTATTTGTTACATATTGAGCATCATGCTGTGTACTTGGCCTGTTAGCTCATATTATTGCTCCATGTTCATGAGGAAACTGATTTTTTTTATGTGTTTGTTTCTTGAGACAGGGTATCATATAGTTCAGGCTAGCCTCAAATTTGCTATGTATCCAAGGCTGTCTTTGAACTCTTTATTATTATTTACTATTTTCAGGTTGTTGGTGGGGTTTTTGGTTTTCTTTTTGTTTTATGAGACTGTCTCATGTATCCTAAGCTAACCTGTGTGCACACTATAACCAAGGATGACCTTAAGTTTTCAGTCTTCCTTCCTCTGCCTCCCAAGTGCTGGGATTGTATACCTGATTTATGTCGTGCTGGGGCCTGAACCCAATGTGTTGTGCATGCTAGGCAAGCACTCTACCAACTGAACTACTCCCCCAGCCCTGGTTTAGAACTCTTGATCTTCCTGTCTCTACCTCCCTAGTGCTAGGATTTCAGGTATGTGTCACTATGCCTGGCCTTTCCCCCCCCCCCTTAAGCAAGGTCTTACCACATAGCCTAGCTGAGCTTGTTAGTGTATTGGCTTTATGGGGGGAGGAGATTAAAGATGTGTGCTGTCATTCCTGGCCAGAGCCCCTGTTTTTAACCACCACTGAAACAACTTCTGGAGGGCACAGTCCTTGTATTTTGCATACTTACTGCTTCATACATATGGTGATTGATGATGATTGATTTGATGTTAGAATTGTCAGTAAATCTGGGGATGGTGGCTCATATCCATAATCCTAGCACACAGGAGGCAGAGACAGGACACTCACCACAAGTTAAGGCCAGCCTGGTCTACATAGCAAATTCCAGGCAGGTCAAAGTTAGACATAGTGAGACTGTAAAAAGGGGTGTGTATGCATATGATAGTTGTAAATGATATAGAACCTTCAGAAAGTTCAGGGAAGCAGCAGGGCTTTATGGAGCATCTGAGAGGCATGCCTGTGATTTCTAGGCATAGAGAGGCATGCACATGGTACTTTAGGTTCCTAGGGCACTAACTTGAAGGATGTGATTATTCAAGGCCTGTTCAGGAAGGATCAGTGAACCCATCTGACAGGATTAGTAGGTTGAGTATGAGTAAATAGTGGGAACAATATGTTGATCCCTTTTCTGAAGAGCCTTGGAATCAAAGAACCTGGAATTACTGTCAATGTCAAATCACTGAAGTTTTTTCTCAGAAAGAGCCACAGAAGCGGGATTTGGAGAAAGTAAAGTGCATAATGCGGAGAAAAGATGAACTTGAGCCTGACCCCATGGTATAGGCTCCAGTTGGGAGACAGAGAAAGAGGTTACTTTTCTCTTTTTTCTCTAGTGCTTGAACCTAGGTCCTTGCAGATGCTAAGCAAGCACTGTCTTTTGTCACTGAGCTTCATCCCCAGTCCAAGTTTAGGTTTTGTTTGAGACAGAACCTGGGATTCTTAAAGAGGACGGTGGGCCTTGCTGGCTCCAGATGTCTGGAAGTATCTTATACTAGTTGCCATAGCTCAGCAGAGAAGAGGCTTTGAGACAGTGATTAAGAGGCTAGGTTAAGACCCCCCCCCCCAATGATGAAGGGGACAGCTGCCCCAGTGCCTCCTCTCCTGCAGGAGATTGCATCCTACCTGATCACCTTCGAGAAGCATGATGAGTGGCTGTCATGTGCCCCAAAGACAAGGTGAGAGTGTTCTCCAGTTTGAGGAACAGCGGGACTCCTGGGCTGGGTTCACTGGACTTGAAGCGAACCCTTCCCTTCCCAGGCCTCAGAATGGCTCCATTATCCTCTACAACCGCAAGAAGGTGAAATACCGGAAGGATGGCTACCTTTGGAAGAAGCGGAAAGATGGGAAGACCACCCGTGAGGACCACATGAAACTCAAGGTCCAGGGCATGGAGGTAAGAGCATCAGACATCCAGTCCTCTGCCCTTGCCCACACTCCATCCTTACCTGGGCTCCAGCCTATCAGAGCTTCAGTACATTGTCTGCCTGTCCCTCTCAGCCACTCTTCCCTCCTCGCTGACTTTGGATCAGCTGACTGCTGAGCTCACTCTCCACTTCCCATTTGCCTTCCATGACCCACCCTTATGATACTAATGCCCACTCCCCTCACTTCCCTTGCATTTCCCTCAGGGATCCAAGTTATGGTGTTCTAAGTATAGGTTTATCTTCCCAAATCATTGCTTTTCTGCATTTTTGCTCTACCCTTGGATTTATTTCTCATATTTCAAATTGGGCCCTTGTAAGACACCAACTGCACTGTTTCCTTCACTCTGCCCCCCCCCCCATGACTTTAAGGCCTACTGGAATTTGGAAGGAGTGGGAGAAAGGTAGGGGGGTGGAGAGAGGGCTGAAGAGGAACTGGTGGAAAGATTGGGATTCCTGCAAAGGGACTGAACAGAGGAAGAGTTGGGGAGCAGACTAGCCCTCCCCCCACCCCAGCCTGTCTCCTGGCAGTGTCTCTATGGCTGCTACGTTCACTCTTCCATCGTCCCCACATTCCATCGGCGCTGCTATTGGCTGCTCCAGGTAAGACAAAAGGATGGGAGCTGGTTCTTTGAGGGACAGGGGGTCTGAAAAGATGAAGTGGAATTATGAATAGGTTGAGTGGGAAAAACTGAGACGGGATTGAGGGTGGAGAAAGCTAGAAATTGGGAGTGATCTAGGGGATGCCCAGGAAGAAAGTACGGACTAGGAACTCCAGACGCCACGGCTCTTTGTGTGTCCTTGTGCTCTCAGAACCCTGACATCGTCCTTGTGCACTACCTGAACGTCCCAGCCCTAGAAGATTGTGGAAAGGGCTGTAGCCCCATCTTTTGTTCCATCAGTAGTGACCGGCGAGAGTGGTTGAAATGGTCCCGGGAGGAGCTGTTGGGACAGCTGAAGCCCATGTGTAAGGAGCAGGCATGGATAGAGCTGTAAGGGAGACTGAGAATGGGGCTTCCCAAAAGCACTGGGGTTCTATGCCCAAACCCTGTGGGTAACTATTTCTCTCCAAGCCAGGAGGGTCCTTTCCAGCTGGGGTACTAGTGTTTCTGTCTAGTCTTAAGATGTGGAATATGGAGAGGAAAATGGACAACTCTGAGCTACATGTCTGAGCAGTCAGGAGTTCCGTGTGTCCAGGGCGTGGAGGAGCTCCAAGGTATTTTGGCAGTCCTACAGTATTTCCTCCAAATCTTCTGTAGTTCATGGCATCAAATGGAGCTGTGGGAATGGGACAGAGGAATTCTCTGTGGAACAGCTGGTGCAACAGATCTTGGATACCCACCCAACCAAGCCCGCACCCCGAACCCATGCCTGTCTCTGCAGTGGGGGGCTTGGTGAGTGACTCCCTGACCCTGGAGCTCCTTTCCCACCTAGCCACTTTGCTTTGTGTCTGTCTTGATGGAATTTGCATGCTGATTTGCAAGTCTTTGCATGTCCAGGAAAATGGGCCAGATGAGCCAGAAGACTTCCCATCTGGCAGCACTGGCCCTAGAAACTTGTACTCTACAGTTCTGGCAGCCCACACTGTTCTGCCTGCTACTTTTAGCAATTCCTGGTCCCCCCCGCCAACCCCTTCACTAAACAATTACACCCAGCTGTAGCTTTGATCCTAGTTGGTACCCTTTGGTCCTGTTCTTTTGTCCTTTTGCTATGCCTTTACCTACTGATCTCAGCTATTTCCCCAGCCAGTCCTCCCCTGCACTGTTCCTCTAGTCCTGTTTATTTTGAGGAGAAACAGAAGGGGGAGGGAGACTCATTTCTGATGCCTCCCAGTGGTCAAAACCAGTCTTACACTTTGGGTTTATTAAAAAAAAAAGTCCCTTATTTTCTGGGGACTTTAGGAAAGGACCTCAGGAAAATAATGTGCCTTATCTTTTCTGTCTTCCCTACCCTTCTCCATTCCAGGTTCTGGGAGCCTTACCCATAAATGCAGTAGCACGAAACATCGCATCATCTCTCCCAAAATGGAGCCCCGAGCTTTAACCCTGACTTCTATATCCCACCCTCAGCCTCCTGAACCTCCCCCATTGATAGCTCCGCTTGCTCCAGAGCTCCCAAAGGCACATACCTCCCCATCTTCCTCCTCCTCCTCTTCCTCCTCCTCCTCAGGATTTGCAGAACCCCTAGAAATCAGACCTAGCCCTCCTACCTCTCAAGGGGGCTCGTCAAGAGGAGGCACTGCTATCCTCCTCCTGACAGGACTGGAACAGCGAGCTGGGGGTTTGACACCCACCAGGCACTTGGCTCCCCAGGCTGAACCTAGACCTTCTGTGAGCTTGGCTGTGGTTATAGGCTCTGAGCCCTCTGCTCCACCAGCTCCTCCCAGCCCTGCCTTTGACCCTGATCGTTTTCTCAACAGCCCCCAAAGGGGTCAGACATATGGAGGAGGCCAAGGGGTAAGCCCAGACTTCCCTGAGGCAGAAGGCACCCACACCCCCTGTCCTGCCCTAGAACCTGCTGCTGCCCTGGAGCCCCAGGCAGCTGCTCGAGGTCACCCTCCACAATCAGGAGCCGGTGGGAGACGAGGAAATTGCTTCTTTATCCAAGATGATGATAGTGGGGAAGAACTCAAGGGCCAGGGGACAGCGCCACCTGTACCTTCACCCCCTCCTTCATCCCCATCCTCACCTGCCCCCTTGCAGCCATCTGGCAGGGTAACAAGAGGGGAAGCCTTGTTTGGAGGCTCTGGTGGGGCCAGCGAGCTAGAGCCCTTCAGTCTTTCATCATTCCCAGACCTTATGGGAGAACTCATCAGTGATGAAGCTCCAAGCATCCCTGCCCCAATCCCCCAACTCTCTCCTGCTCTTAACACCATAACAGACTTCTCCCCAGAGTGGTCCTACCCAGAGGTGAGTCTCAGGTTTTTCTCCCATTTGTTGTCTGATTGTTCAAAACAAACTTTTTTTTTTTTTGGTCTTTTTGAGACATGGTCTCCCAGAAGCCCCAGCTGGCCATGAACCCACTATGTAAACCAGGCTGTCCTTGAACTCACAGAGATCTGCCTGCCTCTGCCTCCCAATTGCTGGGATTAAAAGCCTGCCACCATGGTACTGGCACCGTGGCCCAGCTCTTTGTTTGGTACCCAGCTTACTAGGCATGTGCTCTACCAATTAGCTGCACCACCATCTCCTTCAGGCCTCTTGATTCTCTTCCCAACCTCTACTTTTATGTAAATTATAGCTTCTCTTCTATTTCAGTAGTCCTTCCCAACGTGCCCTCCCTTCCATGTCCTAGTACAGTTTTGAGAGCCCCTTCGGGGACCTCATTCCCTTGATGACTGTTTTAAGGGGGCTATTGGGGCCATTCATCCTTCAGAAGGAAAAACAGTGAGATGAGACTGTAGGTTCTGGTCAGCTGAAAGACTGGTCAGCAGTGAAGAAGTTCTGTTTTAAGAGAAAAGGAGGAATTGCAGTGGAGTGAAGGAGCCCACAGCAAAATTTCTTTCTGATCACAGTTATCTGATATCCTTGGGGAAGCCCTGCATTCTGTTTCTTAGATTTAGAACATCTAGTAAAAGGCTGAGGATGTAGCTCAGTGGTAAAATGCTTGCCTAGCACGTACAAGGTTTTGGGTTTTATCCTTAACACCAGGAAAAAGCTTTTGCTGGGCATAGTGGTGTACACCAATCCCAGTACTTCGGAGATAGAAACCAGAGGATAAGGAGTTCAAGGCCACCTTTGACTACATAGTGAATTTGAGGCCAGCCTGACACACATGAGACTCTATTTTTAAAGAGAAAGGGCAGGGGGATAAAGGAAGAAAATTCTGATAGAGATAAAATAACCACTTGGCAGAAAGGTTCAGAGGTAGATAGAATGCCTGACTTAACTGGATCCCGTCCATCCTTGAACCACTAGAGTCTAGCATAGGGCTTGCCATAAAGTAGTACTTTTTTTTTTGTTTAAGACAGGGTCTCACTATGTAGCTCTGGCTGGCTTGGAACTTGCTGGCCTCGAACCCACAGATTCATTTGCCTCTGCCTCCTGAGTGCTAGGATTAAAGGTGTGTGCCACCATGCCCAGCTATAGTAGTATTTTCTAAGGATCTGAATAAATGAATGAGTGAATGAAAATGCAACTCCAGTTCTGACTTCTGTCTGCAGGGTGGGGTCAAGGTGCTCATCACAGGCCCTTGGACGGAGGCTGCAGAGCATTACTCCTGTGTCTTTGATCACATCGCAGTACCAGCCTCACTTGTCCAGCCTGGTGTCTTACGCTGCTACTGTCCTGGTATGGACATTGGGACCCATGGGGGAAGGGACTCCCATGTGGACAGTTTAGATGGGTGAGGACCCCCAGGCTTCTAGGAAGCACTGGAAACAAATAGATTGTTCTGATGGCAGAAAGACCTCCTCCAGCCCTGAGGTTGAGTGTACAGTTCCCCCAGCATCAAATCTATGATCTCAAGAAATCTGCTTACTAGCTAACCAATGATCTTAGATAATTCTGTACTTTCCTTGTGTCCTTGGTCTCCCCTCCTCTAAGGTCAAGCATTTGACCACAGGGATCTCTAATATCCATGTGATCTCTGTGACTTAGTTGGAGCCAGGTCTCCTATGCCAATCCAGGGAGAAAGAGAAAGGAGTGCTGTTGGTCTCTCGTTAGTCCTGGGACTGAAGGACATTCACTTCTAGACCTATGCTATCCAGTAAGTTAGTCATTAGTCATATGTACGTATTTAATTATAACTAAATAAAATTTAAAATTCATCTCCTTGGGCACACTGACCATATTTCAAGTGCTTAACACCCACACATTGTAGTGCTTCTATACTGCATAGTGCAGATGTAGAACATTTCTAATCACTGCAGAAAAGTTCTGGACAGCACTGGTTTAGATAGACTTCCATGCACTTTTGCCACCACCCTTCCTTGTAACCCACCACCACGCAATCATCCTCCTTGTGGGACTCCAAAGACCATCAGAGTGACAGGTTGACAGCTTTGCTGTTTATGAGTATGTTCTCTCCCAATCTCAACAGCTACATTCAACCATGTATGAAAGGAAAGGAGATGGGATCAGAGAAGCTGGAGATTGGGAGATAAAGTCTCAGGCCTTGGTCTTGAGGTTGAAGCCTGGTGGATTTATCCTCAATGTGGTAGACATTGAAGCCCTGGACAAGGCTTACTGGACACTGTTGGTGAATAGACAGCTTCCCTTTCCTCCATTCTAGTAACAGGGTCATGACCTCTGGACTGTGATCTAAGGGATTAAAGAGGTTAACCACTACCACATTGTTTGCTAAGTAACAAACATCCTTAACTTGGGGGTCTACAACCAATAAATCTCTGCTCTATAGCAGACATTAGTTCTTGAATAAACAGTCTCCCCTCCCTATTACTACAAAGACTACCTACTTACTGGAGCTAGAATTCTCTTGGCCCACAGCAGGGTAACCAGAGAGATATGGAATAATCATCTAACACAGCTAACCAGCCATAAAAGGAGCCAGCAAAAGTGTCCTTCTTCCTAATCCTGTTCTCCCCAGCCCACGAAGTGGGACTGGTATCTTTGCAGGTGGCAGGGCGGGAGGGGCCCCTTTCTGCCTCTGTGCTCTTTGAGTATCGAGCCCGCCGATTCCTGTCTCTGCCTAGTACACAGCTTGACTGGCTGTCACTGGATGGTAAGTACTGAGCCCTCTGACACTATGTATTAGGCCCCACAACCTTTGTACAGGAATTCTAGGTCTCTCAAGAGTTTGTTTTGGGGTCTTTTGGGGGTTTTTTGTTTGTTTGGTTTGGGTTTTTGTTTTTGTTTTTTTCTTTTTGGTCTTTTGAGACAGGGTCTCCCTGTAGCCCCAGCTGGCCTGGAATTCACTGTGTAGACCAGGCTGGCCTCGAACTCACAGAGATCTGTCTGCCTCTGGGATTAAAGGAGTGCACCACCACACCTGGCCCCAGTTCTTGCCTTATCTTTTCCATCTCAAAGGATAGGATCTAGACAAGGAAAGACAGGTCTGGGAGCAGGGTCTAGAGCAATATATAAGTGATGTATGAGGGAGCAAGAATGAATTAAATTGTTTTGTTGGGTTGATTTTTTTTTTGTTTGGTTTGGCTTGTATTTTTTTTTCAGACCGGGTCTCTCATTATGCAGCCCTAGCTAGCCTGGAGCTCACTGTGTAGACCAGGCTAGCCTTGAACTCAGAAAGATCTACCTGCCTCTGCCTCCTGAATACTAGAATCAAAGGCATGTACTACCATGCAAGCACAATTTTTGTTATTTTTTTGAATAGGGTCTCATCTAGTCCAGGCTGACCCCAAACACACTGTGTACCAAATGACCTTGAACTCCTGGATCCTTCTACCTCTACCTCCCAAGTGCAGGTTGGGATTGTAGGCATGTACCACCATGCACAGCTCAAATTTTCTATTAAATAAATAAAGCTTAGCAAGGAGTAGCAGTGTACATTTATAATTCTAGCTTTTCTGGAGGCTGAGGTAGGAGGATCTCAAGTCTGAGGCCTCCCTGGACAACTTAGCAAGATCCCTATCTCAGAAAAAAAATCATATAATTTCTGTGTTCCTTTTGATTATAAAGATATGTATTCATTATAGGAATGTTAGAAATTATAGGAAAATACAAACAGGAAATTGGAAATCTGTAACACTACTGACATTGCTATTGTTGACATAGATTCCCAGGATAAGAGGCAATAGGCACACACCTATATGTATGTAGGCATATTTTAAGGTGGTTCTGTTTCTGATGCTTTTGTTCATTTTCTTAACTGGAGTTTTGCAAATTGTCTGATCCTGCTACTCTCCCCAAGATCTGCTGTTCTTTTCTCATCCTGTTGGCGGCTCTGTTGCCTCCTGGTTCTTTTCAGCTGTGCCCTTAGTTTTCTTGTCTCTTGCCATCCATCTTCTCTCACAGGCTCTGGTCCGTAATCTGCTTTACTCTTGGGGCTGTAATGGTCACAAAGCCTGATTAGGTGTGTTGGGTTGTCTGTGCATGATTTGAGTCTGCCTACCTCAGGACTTTGCCAGCCTTCTCAGTCCAGCTTTGTCCTACTGACTGTCACCGTATTTTTCTGCCCCGTCTGATCTTCGTGCTACCATCTCTCTTCTGGGTCTCCTCCTTTTTTCTTCCCATTTCTCCTTGAACCATGTCTGACCTTGCTTCTCTTCTCTTCTGCTTGCGTGACTGGCACTTTCTGGCTCTGTTCTTTCTCTCTTCACCTTCACTGTCTGTTTTCTGCTCCCCGTTCTGTCCTACCTGGATTTCTTCTCCTCATTTCCTACCATTCTCCCCACTACCATCTCCTCCTAGCCTGGCATTGTAAAACATCCCTGGCCTTCCCTGTTTCTCTGTGCCTGTTTTCCCTTCACTCTGATCACTTCCCACTTCCTCTCCTTATTTGATCTCAGAATGGGACAGATAGAGCTTGTGTTGTGTTGTGTGTACATATATACACATGTAACTTTGTGTATGAGGTTAGGGAGTGAAGGAGGAGGAATAGACATAGCTATCCATCTATGCCACTTTCCCTCCCCAACCATCCTTTTTGTGAATAGCAACAAGAGGCCAGCATGAGCAGTTAGGGTTTTTCAAACCACAGTCCCCAAGCTCTTTTGGGCAGTGGTTACCCTTAGAGGAGGAATCCTGGAGTCCTTCAGCCCAGCATAGCAGACAGGGAGTGTCTGGGAAAAGAACTAAGGGAACATTCTGCCTAGGAAAGACTGAAAGAGAACATACCATATGTGGCTTGGTTAGCTGAGGGATGATCACTGGAGAATTCCTACCACTTGTCTTGAGGGGAAAAGCCTTGGTTCTGAATCCTGGTTCTATTCTAGTAGTAGTTTAAGAACTGAGTCTTGGTGGGTTTTATTTAGATAAGTAGATAAGGAAGCTAGCTGTTGTCTAAGGGAAGAAAAATTGTATAATCTTGTATCTTCATCCCCCACCCCCAGATCTTAGGTTGGTCTGCTAGCAGTAGTCTTGGCCTCACCCAGAGCCTGTCTGTTTAGCTTCCCATCCCCATTCCCCACAGACAACCAGTTCCGGATGTCCATCCTGGAACGGCTGGAGCAGATGGAGAAGCGGATGGCAGAGATTGCAGCAGCTGGGCAGGCATCTTGCCAGGGTCCAGAGGTTTCTCCAATTCAGGTACTTCTACAAGGAAGACCATGGTGTACAGTGAGGAACACAGGATCTCCATAAAGAGAATAGTTCTAGGATGTGACTCCTCACCTATGCCCAGCCTTGTCAGCCAGTACTCTTCCCTCTCCCTTATATCACCCTGCTCCCACCTCCAGCTCTGTGGCAAGAGTAGCTATTCTGGGCACTCTCTTGGCATGATAGGCTTTGGACTATTTCTGATCTGAAGAAGGGTGGAGGTGAAGGAGAGGATGGGGGAAGGATTGGAAGTATTGGGGCTTAGAGCTCTGTGGGTCCAGAGTCTCTGAAGGAAAAGGGCTTAGAGAAGACTGGCCCCTGAGGGAGAAAAGCACCTGTGGTCATGGCACCAGTCTAAGCTGGTGTGGAAGCACAACATGGGCAAGGGTGTGTAAGGTCAGCTCCAGAGGAGCTAGAGGAAGTGGTCCAAGGGGTAGGGGACAGTGAGGCTAAGCAGGAACTGAAACTAGGAGAACCAATGGGCCATCAGTGGTGGGAGGATCCTGGAAAGGAAATGTGAAGGGGCAGCTAGAAGCTGGGAGGAAAACCTAGCAGACCGGATGTCCAGGTCTTTGCATATGGGTGTGTATCCTTCAGGATGAAGGCCAAGGCCCTGGGTTTGAGGCACGGATAGTAGTCTTGGTAGAGAATATGATCCCACGTTCCACCTGGAGGGGTCCTGAACGTCTGACCCATGGAAGCCCCTTCCGGGGCATGAGCCTTTTGCATCTGGCTGCTGCTCAGGGCTACGCTCGCCTCATCGAGACACTGAGCCAGTGGCGGTGAGCATGGGCAGCAGGGAGTGAGCTGGGCAACTAGTGGGGCAATACGAACTTGGATCCTTTTCAGGAGGGAGCAGGAGTCACTATAGGATGGCATGGGCTGGGGGAGGACTGGCATTTGGAGGAATCCCCTGACTTAAAAGACATTGAGTTCTTGGCCAACTTAAATTTAGTCTCTTAACTGCTCCATTCCATTGGCCTTAGTGGTCTCAGGGCTTCCAGACTTTCTACTTCTGATAATTCCTTCGCTGTCCCATTTTTCCTGACTGGGCTTTGTTGTCCTTTCAAACCTAGGAGTGTGGAAACTGGAAGCTTGGACCTGGAGCAAGAGGTTGACCCACTCAATGTGGACCATTTCTCTTGCACCCCTCTGGTGAGGATGTTGTATTTCCAAGTGACAGTAGGGCAGTAAGCAGTGGGAATGGTGCTTCAAAGGGATGATCCTTTGAGGAATGCAGGGAAAGAATAGGGTGGGCCAGAGCCTGAGGAATGGCCACCTGGAAGAAGAAGCCAGGCCTCACCCCTGCTTTCTTTCCTCAGATGTGGGCTTGTGCCCTGGGACACCTGGAAGCTGCTGTGCTCCTTTTCCGTTGGAACCGACAAGCATTGAGCATTCCTGACTCCCTTGGCCGTTTACCCCTGTCTGTGGCCCGTTCTCGGGGCCATGTGCGCCTTGCCCACTGTCTTGAGGAACTGCAGAGACAGGAGGCTTCAGTTGAGCCCCAGTTTGCCCTGTCACCACCCTCCTCTAGCCCAGACACTGGTGAGAGCTGGCTTTGATGTTTTTAGAGGGATATAGTCAAGAAGATAGGCTAGAGCAAAGCCAGGATGGGGAACAGTACAGTGAGGGAGGAGGTAGGGATGGGAGGTAACAGGACCAAGAACAGTCAAGAAAATGGAGATGAACTGAGGAAGGAGACCTGAGGGTGGCGTTGTTCCTGCTGTCCTCACCTACTTCCCTCACCTCACAGGTCTGAGCAGTGTCTCTTCACCCTCAGAGTTGTCAGATGGCACTTTCTCTGTCACATCAGCCTACTCAAGTGCCCCGGATGGCAGCCCTCCTCCTGCTCCTTTGCTAGCCTCTGAAATGACTATGGAGATGGTACCAGGCCAGCTCTCTTCTGGTGCACCAGAGACATCCTTGCTCCTTATGGACTATGAGGCCACTAACTCCAAAGCGTCTGATCCCTCCCGTTCTGGCCTCTTACTAGCCCAGGACGATGGGCCTGCTACAGAGGATATTGACAGCTTACCAGCTGTGGATGTGATCCCGGTACTGTTTATTTTATGTTGATGGGACTCATAAGGCTAGGAATAGAGCAAGATGCAAAGGTGGGGTGAGGCAGACATCCATGAAACAGAATTGGAGTCTGGCTTCATTTTGGGAAGAAAGACTGTTTACCATTTAGGAACAGGCACAGGACCCTCTACTTAGCTTCTTTCAGCCTGTGTGACAGTCATGAGGCAGGAGAGGTTAAGAATTCTGGGAAATCTCTACTTAGAACTGGATTGTAGCAGTTAGTTACCTATCAGTCCATAAAGGGAAAAGGTTCTTGAGGAATTGGTGATGGAAGGCAGCTGGGAAGTATAAGAGGTTGGCAAGATGGAATTACTTGGCAGTCATCTTGGGTAGGAAGAAATCTTGCCAGTCATAGAAGAAGGGTCTTATATAATGATTAAATTGAGAATGAGTCTTCAGGTATAGCCAAGTGTTAGGACTTGGGATTATTTATGCTTTAGAGAGACTGAGTAATTAGAAAACAGTCTAAATACCAAAAATTTAGAACTCCACAAGGGAAGCAGTATGGAATATGATCAAGCAGGAAGTGCTATAGCCCTCATGACTAGAGAGAACAGGCCGGAGCTTTCACCAGAGTGTTATGTGGTCAGTAAGCCCTGGGCTGGTTCTTGAGAGAAGTAGATGAGGTAATGAGCTTGGCCTAGGCCAGTAGAAATGATATGTTGGTTGGGTGGCATGGGGTAGTTCTAAGTGGGACAGTGGGCAGTCAACCTGGAAGAGTGGAAAGACCTTCATTTGCTCAGCTCCTAAATCCCCATGTGGAATATATCCTCCTTACCCTATGTTCTACACAACATATCAGTACAGAGAGAATCAGAATGAATGAATGTAGAATTGTAGCTCATATTTGGCAGATAGCAGCTCCTGAGGCCTGTATCTGGTGGCATCTTAGAGGAAAGAAGATAAGGGAGTAGGGCCTAAGGCTATAGCATTGGCTGGGATAGAACATCTGGTAGTTGGGACCCCACAGGGTTCACACAGCAACTCCCTTCATCCAGGTGGACATGATTTCACTAGCCAAGCAGATCATCGAAGCCACACCAGAGCGGATTAAAAGAGAGGACTTCTCAGGATTGCCTGAGGCTGGAGCCTCACTTCGGGAGCGGACGGGCACTGTGGGGCTCAGTGAGACCATGTCCTGGCTAGCCAGTTACCTGGAGAATGTGGACCATTTCCCCAGCTCTGCCTCTGCCAGGTGATCAGCTCAGAAAAAAACCTCCATATTCTTCTTCAAAGAAAGATGGGTGGGAAGAAGCTGGCTTCTTCACAGCCATAGCTCCATTCTGGCTGAGGCCCCTGGTGGTGTTTGAGAAGGGACCTGAACTGGCTGATGAACTCTGGAGCCACTCTCTCTAGACTGTTGCTGAAGGTCTTCCTCAATAGTTGCCTCTAGGTGGAATAAGAAGGATTAAGATGCCCCATGAATTCCCTTCTCCCTATCCCCTACAGTGAACTGCCCTTTGAGCGAAGTCGCCTGGCTATCCCTCCAGCGCCTTCCTGGGCAGAGTTCCTCTCTGCATCTACCAGTGGCAAGATGGAAAGTGACTTTGCCCTGCTGACACTCTCAGATCATGAGCAGCGGGAACTGTATGAGGCAGCACGGGTCATCCAGACAGCCTTCCGAAAGTACAAGGTCAGAAAGCCTAGGGTTTCAGGATAAATTACAGAGTCTTGAGTCAGACAAAATTATGGGCTCCTAATGCTTTTTTGCAGGAAGAGTACTCATCCAGATAGGCCTCAATGTGGGGAGGAGTGAGATGGCTCAGAGGCTAAGGGTGCTTGCCACCAATCCTGAAAACAGTCTGCTTAGAATCCACATTAGGAGAGGACTAACACCCTCAAGTTGTCCTCAGACCACACACAGGGGTGTCCGCATTCACACACAAAATACACAAAATGTTTTTTAAAAAAATTTAAAGAAGGGACTGGGGAGGGAGGGGGTAGGTCCAGTGTCTGTTAGGTGGGCAGGGAGATGCTGAGACCTCCTCTTCCCTTAGGGCCGAAGGTTGAAGGAGCAGCAGGAGGTAGCTGCAGCTGTGATCCAGCGTTGTTACCGGAAGTACAAGCAGGTTAGATCCTTCTCTCAAAAGCATGTACACCCTTTCCAAGCCCCCTGTCAGAGCCCTAACTTCTCTTCTCTCTCCACAAGCTGACCTGGATTGCACTTAAGGTATTAGGCATGAGATCTGGGTGTGTGTTGTCAAATTCAGCCTTCTGAGAGTGTGTGGATTAGAGTAAGGGGCCTGCAGCAACCTAATTTGAGAGTGGCCTTCAGGGGTTGGGGCTCTGCCCCGCTACTTCAGCTCCTGCCCCCTCTCCACTTCCCTGCAGTTTGCACTTTATAAGAAAATGACTCAGGCGGCCATCCTGATTCAGAGCAAGTTCCGAAGCTACTATGAACAAAAGCGATTTCAGCAGAGCCGCCGAGCAGCGGTGCTCATCCAGCAGCACTACCGCTCCTACCGCCGCAGGCCGGGGCCTCCCCACCGGCCCTCAGGCCCCCTTCCTGCCCGCAACAAGTAGGGGCCCCCTCTCCCTGGCAGCCTGCCTTTCCCTACAGCGGTTCTAAGGATTGGGGGTGCCTGAGTTCTATATGGTTGATCTCTTTCTTCCCCCAGGGGATCCTTTCTCACCAAGAAGCAGGACCAGGCAGCCCGGAAGATAATGAGGTTCCTGCGGCGCTGCCGACACAGGTACTAGCCCCATCCCTCGCTGGGCCCCCATACTGTCACCTTTGCTGATTCCCTGGTCTCCTCAGTCCTCCTCTGTCTCCGCAGGATGAGGGAACTGAAGCAGAACCAGGAGCTGGAAGGGCTGCCCCAGCCAGGGCTGGCCACCTGACCTCTCCACCTCCTTCCTCGCCACCCGGAGCCCCCCTCTGGCAGTCTTAACTGGGAGAGGGCTTTCTGGGGGAGGGGAGCCCCCTGTCGGCAGCTTTTCCCCCTCCACCTCTGGGAGCCCTTCGTAGGACCCTTCCCCTTTTCCCAGGCCTTACTCCTACACGTCTCCTGGTCGTGCCTCCTCTTGGTCCCTGGCTCCAGAAGACCCATGCCCCACATATCTGCATCTGAGCTGTGACCCACGGAGCCCTGCCTGCACCTTCCCCACAGCCGCTCCCTCCCTTGCCTGCACTGGACTCGGACCTTCCTGACTTGCCTTATTTGTTTGACGCGTCTCTGTGTTTGCCTCGGTCCCCACCGCTGCCTTCGCTGCGTGCGCCCTAGTGTTTCAGGGGTGACCGTGCCCCCACCCTGACTCCGCATGTTTGCGTCTGTTTCCTCTCTTCTGGCCCAGTCTTCCCCGTCACCCTGACTCTGCCCACCCACCTCGGTGCCAAAGAGGAGGGGGGGTGTACATAGGATCGCGTGGCGGAGTCCTCCCGAGGGGAGGGGGCTTGTACATATTGTAACATACAGAGTATAGTGAAGAATCTATTTAAGGCGTCGCGAGAGCTGCGCGGCTGGAGTCCGACGGGCTCCACAAGCACTTTCTACTTGTGCATGGGCTTGGTTTATACAAATTGCCATTAAACATCTCTGCACCAGCTTGCCTCGGGCCTCTGTCTGGAAGGGGTTGGGGGGAACGCCACGCGCACCCTGGAGCACGGCCTTAGGGCGGGGCGAAGAAGTTTTTCGCCTCCGACGTGTTTCCGGCCTTAAAGGCATTTCGCCCTTCCCTTTAAGACGCACCGCCCCCCTCTCAGTCATTCCCAAGATGGCGGACCTACTGGGCTCCATCCTGAGCTCCATGGAGAAGCCACCCAGCCTCGGTGACCAGGAGAGTCGGCGCAAGGCCCGAGGTGAGGATCCCAGATTCACAACCGCGTCACTTCGCCCGGTTCTTGGGACCACACCCTTCCCTCTTTGGGACAGTGCCGCCTCCTGCCTTAAAAGACCCTGCACAGGCCACTCCCGAGACCCTCAGAGTCCCTAAAAGGGCTGCTGGCCCGCCCGCTGTGCTCAGCAGATGACGCTTGGCTGCTGAAGCCAATTTGCGATTGGCCATGGGCCTGCCTGTCCGCTGCTGGCGAGCTCTGATTAGTAGGACGCCTTCGCCTACCCTGCCCGTCCCTTCTTCCGATTGGAGGGTTGGCGTATCCAGCATCCCAGACCCGCGTACGTCCTGCACTATTAGGATTGGGTTCAGGGCACGCCCATCCAAAGTCTTTTCACCGCTATTGGCTAACTGAACTTAAAGCCCAACATCTAGGTGTTTGCACTTTCCTCCTGTCCTACCTCACTCAGCACCTCCCACTGGTTAGCTGGATTCTATCCCTATGCCCCCTCCTTGATTTAACGCAGCCTCCAAGGCTACTCCCGTAGCCTTAAATTCCAGGTGCCCAGGGTGATCGTGATGTAGATTGGCGGAATGAGAATGCCCCGTGGGTTCCGATTCACCAGTGTCCCCGCCTGTGCTGAGTAGCTGACCAAAAAGCTAGCTGGAGTTGGGCAGCCAGGGTAGGGCACGGCCCAGAGAGTTGATGGAGACCTTCCCAGTGTTCGTACTGTGACGTGTGTGTAGGTGTCTGGCGGAATGACAGTGTTAGGTGGACCCAGCTCCCTGCCATGTGGGCCCTGACCATGGACAAGTCCCATACTAGGCACCGGCTCCCCATCTGCCTAAAGGAGGCAGGGTAGGCAGGATGTCTTCAAACTGTTTAAGGACTGCTAAATATCTAAATATAGTTCCCTGCTGGCTGGACACCTGATGGGGGCCAAAGGTACCACCCATCAAGGAACTCTGAAACGTTCATTGACGAAATGATCACATAAGAAAATTAATAACCAAGGCTGGGCATAATAGCGTAGGCTTTTAATTCCAGCACTCAGGAGGCAGAGGCAGAGGCAGACAGATCTCTGTGAGAGTGAGCCAGCCTGGTCTACATATCAAGTTCAGACCAGCGGTGGCTACAGGGAGACCCTGTCTCAAAATAAACATAATAATAACCAAGTCAGTGCTTTGAAAGAAATATATATATGAAAGAGAGACTAATTGGGAGTCCTAAGCTTGTCTGAAGTGAGCTGAGCTTGGAAGAATAATTCAGTAAAGCAAGTGAAGTGTTCCAGGTGGTATATTTGGAAGCTTTGGGAAAGAGGAGCATAATGGGAAACAGGAGTTGGAATTGCTTAGTGTTTAGAGGACTGACTAGGTGGAGGAGTACCCACATTAGCTGATAAGACTAGGGAGCTTCAGTTCAGTCACTTGCCTGAGGTCACAGGTTACTAAGTAGCAGCATTTTAAACCCAGGTGTGACTTTTTAGTCTATTCTTAACCATAATCTTATGCTATCTCCCCAGATGCAGAAAAAGACTGGAATGCCAAATAGGGAACAGTGAGTGGCTAAGACAGAACATGCTGACTGAAGTCAAAGAGATGAGATTGTCTAGTCTTCAGGCTCTGGGCCCTGAAGCATAGCTAGACAGAAGATGAACAGGGTCCCTGCCCTCCAGGAGCTCACAGCCTGGTAGGAGAGACAAAAAAATTATAGCAAGTTCTGCTAGGCATGATGACACACACCTTTCATCCCAACACTTGGGAGGCAGAGATAGGCAGTTATCTGTGAGTTCAAGGCTAGCCTGATCTACACAGCAAGTTCCAGGGCAGCTGGGGCTACTTGGAGACCCTGTCTCAAAAAGACACCCGCCCCCAAAAAAATTACAGCAAGTTGGGGCTGGATCGATGGCTCAGCATTTAAGAGTACTGGCTGCTCTTGCTGAGGACCTGGGTTCAGTTCCTAGCACCCACATGGTGGCTAACAACTGTCTGTAACTCCAGTTCCAGGGGCTCCAACACCCTCTTCTATTCTCTGCGGGCATTGCACGGACACAGGTGCACTTATGCAATATGCTCATACACATAAAAATAATTAAAAATAATAATTAAAAAATTACAGCAAGTTCTTAGCACATGCTGTAGGGTCTGATTCAAATATGCTTGGAGCCTAGAGGAAGAATTCTGGCTCAAGGTGAAATTCAGCCCTTGCAAAAGGAGGAAAAGCATTCCATCCAGAAGGAACAACATCTGCAAAGACATGAAGTAACTAGGAAGATGGGAAGGAGTTCAGTGCAGGTGTGGGGATTCAGACTGCAGAAGTAGGCCCAAGGTTTTGAAATGGCACAAGAAAGGAGGGGCATTTCAGGCTGAGCAACAGGAGGAGGAGAGGAAGAGCCATGTGCCTAAATCACAAGAGATAGCAAACTCATATTATAGGAGAAGATAGCAGGGCCCAAGTTAAAAATGCACAGTCCAAGAGCCAGGAACATTACTCAGTGGTAGAAGGTTTGCTTAGCATGCACAAGTCCCTGAGTTCAGTCTTCATTACCATGTCAGTCAATCCTAGACCAGAGTGCTGGGTCACACCTGCAATCCCAGCACTGGGGAGGCTGAGGCAGAAGGACTGACACAAGTGTGAGGCCAGCCTGGACTCCATAGTGAGTTCTAGGCCAGCCTGGACTGCAGAGAGAGACCCTGTCTCACAGTCAAGGGAGAGAGTAGAGGAAAGCAGGCCCTGTTCTTAGGGCTGGGGTATAGCCCAGGGGCAGAGCTCATTTGTTTCCCTGTAGACAGCTGAGAAAATCTGAGGCCAGGGACTTAGGCTGTTCTCACCTCCTCAGATGCCTTATAGTTCTTATGCTATGGGCATTACGTGAATATTGACTCCTTGTAGGGTTGGTAAGTAGCTCCCACTTACATTGTACTCTGGAAGGGCAAAACTGTGTTTTAACCATCTTGGTACTCCAGGGCTTAGCACAGTGTCAGGTGATATAGTAAATATCAAGAAATACTTGGTGAGTCAACAGTTAGCCTACCATCCCAGCCCAACACTTGCCAGTGCACTGCAGATATCCTTTGATGCCTGACTACTCTCTCTACCCCTGCTCCCAGCCCTAGCCTCATGCTGCTATTTCTCCCCCAGAGCAGGCTGCCCACCTGAAGAAACTGCAAGAGCAAGACAAACAACAGAAAGTGGAGTTTCGTAAAAGGGTGAGAACAACTGGAGAGATCAGAGGCAGCTTCTGGAAGGACTTGCAGTAAGAGTTGGAAAGTTGAGGACTCAGTTGTATTGACAATGCCTGCAGAGAGGTGAAACCTAAAAGCCAGTGGCTTAGAAGTTGGGGCAAGGTGTGGGGAGGTATAAAGAGGCTGTTACAGACAGATATCCTGAGGGCTGTCATCTCATGTCTTCATTGTTTTGTTTCTCTCAAGATGGAAAAAGAGGTGTCTGATTTCATCCAAGACAGTGGACAAGTCAAGAAAAAATTTCAGCCCATGAACAAGATAGAGAGGAGCATACTGTGAGTGTCTCTGGGCTTGGGGAGGCAAGAAAGGGGCAGCGGAGGGACATGAAAGAGCCAATGGAGACTCTGGAGAAGGGCATTAGATCCCCTCATAGCTCAGTAAACTCTTCTGCCCTCTTTTCCCAGACATGACGTGGTAGAAGTGGCTGGCCTCACATCCTTCTCCTTCGGAGAAGATGATGACTGTCGCTATGTCATGATCTTCAAAAAGGTGAAAACCCTGATTTCCTCCCTCTCTCAGCCTGTCCCAGCTACTTGGGGTGGAGTATGAAATTACACATATATCTGAACACCTGACTTTATCATTTCCTTCTTCCCCAGGAGTTTGCACCCTCAGATGAAGAGCTGGACTCCTACCGTCATGGAGAGGAGTGGGATCCCCAGAAGGCTGAGGAGAAACGGAAGCTAAAGGTGAGCTGTGCCCGGCAATCCCTGGAACCCTGAAGCCCATCACCAGCAAATGGAAGAGGCCTTGAGCAACAAGTGCCCCATCTCTGTGCCCTTAGGAACTGGCCCAGAAGCAGGAGGAGGAGGCAGCCCAGCAGGGACCTGCGGTGGTGAGCCCTGCCAGCGATTACAAGGACAAGTACAGCCACCTCATTGGCAAGGGGGCAGCCAAGGATGCAGCCCATATGCTACAGGCCAACAAGACCTACGGCTGTGGTGAGACATGGCAGGAACTGGGGGAGGCCTGGGGAGAACTTAAGATGAGGAAGGGGAGCAGAGGTTGAGACCCTGCCCACCCTCTCCTCTGCCCCCAGTGCCCGTGGCCAACAAGCGGGACACACGCTCAATCGAAGAGGCCATGAATGAGATCAGAGCCAAGAAACGTCTGCGGCAGAGTGGGGAGGAGTTGCCAACTACCTCCTAGGCATCCCACCCAGCTCCCTTTGACCTCCAGCAAGGCAGGGGCATGGAGGGACAAGGCTGCTGCTAACATGGCCCATCCTGAAGCCCCACTTCCAAGACATCAGGTCCTACCAGCTACTCAGGCTGAGGGAGAAGCAGGTGTTTGTCACTGTTGGAACTCGGATGTGGTGTATGTGTGTGCGAGAGTGTGAGTGTGTGGGTGGGTATTTAATCTGTATTATTCTCTATTATCCTTGGAACTTCTTCCCCATGGGGCTGGGGTTACTTTACATTGAATAAACACTGTTTGAACCAATGTTCTGGTTTATACATAGAAAAGTGGGTACTAGAGCCACTGGCAGAGAATAAAGAGAGTAATTTTAGATTGAACAGTATAAAATTGCTCTGTGGAGGGCTGGAGAGCTGGTTCAGTGTGGTTAAAGGAACTTGCTGTTTTTGCAGAAGACTGGGTTCAGTGCCCAGCACCCACATGGTGGCTTACAACTATCCATAATTCCAGTTCCAGGGGATCCAACACTCTCTTCTGGCCTCCACAGATACTGCATGCATATAGCGTACATACATGCATGCAGGCAAAACACTCATACACATAATTTTTAATTACTATTTGTATTAGCCAAAGATGGCAAATTATTAACAGTATTATTGGAACTTACAGGTACATTTATTTATTCAGTGATGCTAGGGATTGAACTCAGCTTGGTACACTACCACTAAGTGCCACTAAGCTTGGGGGTTTGGTTTGGTTTGATTTGGTTTGGTTTTTTTTTTTTTGTCTTTTTGAGACAGGGTCTCCTGTAGCCCAGCTGGCCTGGAACTCACTATGTAGACCAGGCTGGCCTTGAACTCACAGAGATCTGCCTGCCTCTGCCTCCTGAGTGCTGGAATTAAAGGCGTGTGCCAACACGCCCAGCTAAGCTTGGATTTTTGAAACGGTCTCACTATCTAGCCCAAGTTGGCCTGAAACTCATGATCTCCATCTCTGTCTCCTAAGTCCTGGGATTACAGATGTGAGCCACCATACCCAGCTAAGATGTATTATTTTAAACCAAATAGCCTTTGTGTCCTGGCTGTACCAGTTGCTAACTCTGCTATGTTGAAGGTATTTAACTCTTTGTACATCTCTTTCTTATCTGTAAAATGGGGTTCTGTAAATGTCTAATAGGACTGCTTCAAAGCTTATATAGGTCAATACCATGTCCACTATTGAGAACGCTTCCAGAAGCTCCATAGAGGTGGTAGCTGCTCTCATTATCATTTGTTCTCACAAAGCACTCAGTCTGGCTCAGCTTCTCTACAAGGTGCACCAGCAGGCCACACACTTCAACAGTGGCAGGTCTGCCCCAGATACCTCTTGTGCAGGTAGTGGCAGGACCCTCAGCTCCTCTCATCCACTCCTATCCATCCTCTGTAGCTGGTTCCTCATTCCATAGGCACCTCTCCAGCTCCTTTTCACAGAAGTATTTGCTTCCTTCAGCCTCATTCCAAAATGTGGACTTCTCTGTTCTACATCACTGAGCTTTGAGTCTCTCACTTCCTCGTCACAGCAGGTGACCTTTCTCTGCCTCTTCCTCCTGCCACCTGTCTACCTCCTGTCCTTCTGAGCCAAGAGCTAAGCATCCTTTCCCTCCTCCCTCTCTTAGCCCTCGTTCCTTCTAAGGACCACACCATGATCTTGTTTGGCATCATTATTTATTCAATGGAGAAGGGTTTAAAGGCCAGCGTCTTTCCTCTGGAATCCTGGAGCCTCCAGCTTCTCATTTGGCCTTTGGATTACGGAATTTTCGTCCAGCAAAGACAGCTTTGTCCCCAAGAGCCTCTTCAATCCTACAATGCAAAGTCAGAGTTACAACCTTCTAACTCAGCAGCACCCTCCACTACCCCACTGCCCAGGCCTCTGTACCCATTGTACCTCATGAGCTGGTTGTATTTGGCCAGACGCTCTGAGCGGCAGGGGGCACCAGTCTTGATCTGAGGTAGAAAAAGGGATTTGGAGGGTTGGGTAAGGCTACAAGGGTTGGGTGAGGCCCCAAAGGAGCAGTCTATGGTAGTATTCAACTCAGGGTAGGAGGCCAAGGAGTCTTGTTTGTATACTCAGTAGAGGGAAGCCCTGAGTACCTGTCCTGTGCAGAGTCCCACCACAAGGTCAGCAATGAATGTGTCCTCAGTCTCCCCAGAGCGGTGGCTCACCATCACGCCCCAGCCATTAGACTGTGCCAGTTTGCAGCTGTGGAGAGGACATTTGATGAGGCCTTATGGAACCTCCTTAGCAAGAAAGCCAGGGACTGGGCTAAGATTTTCCTATTTTGAGCAATGGGCACTTTGCAGGGAAGGCAGTGACTAATCTTTAGAAGTAGAAGAGGAGAGATCTTGGTTTAGGGCTCCTGAGATGACAGGAAGAATACAGAATCTGGGTGGGAAGATGAGGGACACGACAGTATAATGGCAAAGCTGTTGGGGACAGGCCAAGGGTTAGTCAAGAGACGGGTCTGGTCCCCAGGGAGAGGTAGATTTGAGTTAGTGAGTGAGCAGCGGGTAGATCTGGGATGGAGGGTGGCCATGGTGAGCCTTAAGTCAGAAAGCACTCACGCCTGGATGGATTCCGTCACTGAGCCGATCTGGTTGACCTTCAGCAGCAGGCAGTTGCAGGCCTTTTTCTCAACAGCCTGGGCAATCCTTTTGGGGTTAGTAACTGTGAGGTCATCCCCCACAATTTGGATGTCCACCCCCGAGAGGAATGAGGTCCATGTTGCCCAGTCATCCTGGTCAAAGGGGTCTTCAATGGAGACCACTGGTAGGGAATCAGGAACGCAGTTGGGGTTAGAGACAAAAGGGGCCTGATGAAGGGGTGGCAAGCAACAAGGGTTGAATGGGGGTTGTGATGTAGGGCTAGGAATGGAAAGGACTTGAGCTGTGGCAAAGCCAGGTATTGAAACCTGTGTTGGGCAGCTGCAGGGGACTAAGGCAGAAAAACAAGCACCTGGGAGTCTCACCAGGATAGTTCTTGATGAAGTTCTTGTACAGCTCTCCAAGTTTCTCCCCAGAGATGTGCCGGGCAGGATCATCAGGTGACTTGAAGTCAAGATCATACTTTCCGTTGCGATAGAATTCAGAAGCTGCCACATCCATGCCAATTACTACCTTGTCTGGATAACCAGCTGCCTGAATGGCTGTCTTCAGCAGCTCTAGGGCTAAAAGAGGAATAAGACCCAAGATTCCAGTGTCTTCTGTATCTGTAGCCTTTCTTTTCCCCCTCCTCATGGGGACCCAGGTATTCTATGCCCCAGGATGCTCAGCACTGACCCTCATTGTTCTCCAAGATGTTGGGTGCAAAGCCGCCCTCGTCCCCTACATTGGTGGCGTCCTTCCCATACTTGGCCTTGATGACCCCCTTGAGGTGGTGGTAGACCTCAGCACCAATGCGCATGGCTTCCTTGAAGGAGCTTGCTCCCACTGGCAGAATCATGAACTCCTGCATGGCCAGCTTGTTTCCAGCATGGGAGCCCCCATTGATCACATTGAAGGCCTGAGACAGGAGATGGTACTCAGAGCTGGGTGGCATGACGGATCAAGGGATGAGAGGGAACTCAAGATGAAAGTCTGGCCCCTACTCACTAGCTGAATGGTCTAAGACCATACTTTTACTCCTCAGAACTTTCTCCCCATTTCTATACAATGGGGGCAAAACCTACTTTTCTGTAGATTCTTTTACTAAAAAGTAAGAGAAACTAAATATGAAGTTCTTAGCTAGTGCCTGGCATATACTAACACTTTTACAGCACTGCTCTAAGTATATAAACTAGCTTATTCTAATCTCAAAATACCTCTATTAACAGTGTACTATCATTAATTTCCACTTTACAGATGAGGAAACTGAGGCAGAGAGAGGTTAAATAACTTGCCTAAGATCATGCAACTATAAAACAGGCAAGGCCAGGATCTGAACCCAGCAGATGTCTCTACAGTCCATGCTCTTAGCACAATCTTCCTAATAAGTAACAATAAATGGTAACATTATTATTGAGATTAAATTCAAAGGGTTACTATTATGAGGGCAGTGGCTTAATAAGGACTCAGAGGATGCAAAGAAATACCAAAATCCTTTCCATGAAGAAGTTCTTAAATCCTAAGAGGGGTGGGGTAGAAGAGAGGGATGAGGTTGGAATTACCAGCCTGGGCTGGCACATAAGAAACTGAGGGATGTGGGGAGCCAAGGAAACACCAAGAGGCTTAAGGAAGGTTTAGCTACGAAGAAGAGGGAGGGGCAGGAACACAACAAGGGAGATTTAATTTCAGGAAACTTCTTTGGAACTAAATCTGGAAGGTAGATTTGCTAGGGGCTGCTTAAGCACTCCTGGCCAGGTAGGGGCAGCTGTCAAGGGGATGTGGAAGAGAAACCACACTCACAGGCACTGGGAGTATGAGGTCAGGGTTCCCTGCAAGATCTGCAATATGTCGGTAGAGGGGAACCCCCTTCTCAGCTGCTCCTGCCTTACACACAGCCAAGGACACACCCAGGATGGCATTGGCCCCAAACTTGGCTGTAAGAAGGCAAGCAGGAAAAAAGGATGAGAGTGTCTCCCACTGACTTTGGGGTTCATTCCTTGAACATACCCTCCATTACCCCAGGGAAAATACACATATCCCAAACCACTTGGCATCAAGATTTCCCTTAACAGATCTCCTTCCTTCAGAGGCCTGTGGCACTCTAGGAGCGCAACCCCTCCCTGGGCCGATGTATCACTTTCCCGTTACGTCCACTACCAGCCAGGCCTGGTAGAAGACAGGCATCAGGAACTTCGGTGTGCCCCAAGATGTGGGACAGAGAAATAACCCAGCCAGACCTCAGTGGTCTCCCTCCATCTCCCCCACACCCTATTCTCTCTGGACCCCAAGGGTTTCACTTACACTTATTCTCTGTCCCATCCAGCTCAATCATAAATTTGTCTACTTTTTCTTGATCCACAACACTTAGTTTCTGGAAAGGGCAGAGGTCAGATTTCTCAGGTGTCAGGTAATATGCAGGATGAAGGATAAGAGAAAAAAAAAAAACTTGGAGGAGAGGGGCTGCCTGTGGTGAGGCACAGGGTCACTGGGAGGAGGGAAGGGGAAGCTGGCTCTTCCACTTGCCTTTTCCAGCAGAGCAGGACCAAGAGTCTTGTTGATGTGCTCCACAGCCTTCAGCACTCCTAGAGGCCAGAGCATGGGTTCAAGACTGTCAAAGGGATTAGGCATCTTCCCATGGACCCCAAGTCCTTCAGGGCTTTGGGTTCCAGTCCTCCATCCCTGGCCTGAGTACCCACACAGGCTCCTTCTGTGTTGAGTTGGTCTTTGCTTACCTTTTCCCAGGTAGCGCGACTTGTCTCCATCTCTTAGTTCTAGTGCTTCATAGATGCCTGTGGAAGCTCCACTGGGCACAGCTGCTCGGAATCGACCTGCACAGGAGGAACTGAAGATCAGGGTGCCGCTGACCCACAAAGAGCTGGGGTCTCCTCCCTGGGCCCAGGGACAGAAACCAATACAGAGAAACTCCCATTTCTCCCCAGCTCTGGAGCCAGGAAGAGGAGAGGGTCTGGGAAGAAGTTTGGGGAAAGGAACCTCTGATAAAGGACAAGATATGGCACAGGACTGAGGGGAAAGAGCAGGTAAGGTTGGGGTCTTGTGAGGCAAACCAGTTCAATAGGCCTGTGTTACCCTTGGCTGTGTGCAGGTCCACCTCCACTGTCGGGTTTCCCCTGGAGTCCAGGATTTCCCGGGCAAAAATTTTTTGCATGGCCATGACTGCACCACAAGAGATTGGAGTGAGCAAGGGTGGACAGTTGATCCCTAAAGGAACTAGAAATCCCCTGCCCTTTAAGAGTCTCCCCACTCCAAGAAGGCAGGTGCTGGAGCTAAAAATACCCCATAAAAGGTCATAGACCAAAGAGGCAGGTCAGCCCCCACCCCCACTCAGAACAGCTCCTGTTCCACGAATCCAGGGTCCTTGACTTTATAACTCTCCAGATCACACCAGTCCCTGAATCCATCCATACCCCCCCCCGAAAACACACCCACCCACACACACACACCCACACACCCCCTCCCCACCCTCAGGCTTATGGCCCAGACTAGTTCTGGCATCTCACCTAGCTCTCACAGTGACAACTAGCAAAAGTCTGTGTCCTTTGATTTGCCTTCCCTGTCCCTCCTCTTCTCTT